GATCGACCCCAAATCCATCATCCAGGACTCCGAATACATCGAAACCCACCTGGTCGCCGTTCCCAACCAACTAGTAAAAGACTTCCTGAAGACCTACGAGACCGTCGCGCCGATGGTGGTCCCCCGCTCCGCGCAACTGGTCGCTCAAGACAGCGAGTTCACGCTGTACGCCGTGACATCGTTCAAGAAGCACAGCGCGGAGTTTGTGCATAAATGCCGTGAGCAGAAGTGGATTCCGCGTGACTTTAAGTATGTCGAGGGTGGCAAGGAGGAGGAGCGCAAGGAGGTTGAGCGTGTTGGTGGTGATGAGCGCAAGCTATGGGGTGAGACGTTGCGGCTTGGTCGGACGGCTTGGAGTGAGGCTGTTATGGTTTGGATTCATATTTTGGTTTTGAGGGTTTTTGTTGAGACAGTTTTGCGGTATGGTTTGCCGTTGGATTTCATCTGTGCTTTGGTTCGGGTATGTATTTGCTGTGTTCTTTGGTTTCTTTTTGGGGGAAGGCAATTGCTGACGGCCATCATTTACAGGCGCCTTCCTCTAAGCAGGCTGATCGTGCCAAGTCCAACCTTGAGAACAAATACTCATATCTGGCTGGGAATGCCTTTGGGCGCGATAAGAAAGGTCGTATGCAGCGCGATGATCCTGGTGAGATGCATGCTGGTGGTGAGGGAGGTGCGGACTACACGCCGTATGTGTTTTACGAATTCGAGTTCCACTGAGTGTTGTTACTGGAGAGACGTTGCTGTGAGAGATACAAAGTTATGGACGTTGCGTACATATACCATCTGGGTACATCGAGCACAAACTAGCATTTGGATATTTTGTTTAGTTTTGAATACAATGATTACACTCAAACAGGACAACCAAGTTCCCTCGAATCAAAAGTCTATATTGTCCAGTATGTACAGCAAGCAGTCAGGGGGAATCAAGATGAGAAAAAGAAACAAAACCCAACCCAAATCCGCTGTACAAGACAACTTTTATCTGAGAAAAGCATCTAAGCATCTAGCATACTCTATATACAACATCAAGGCCCTTCCCTTTAGTTCTTCTTAGGCAGATATCCCTTGGACTCAAGGTAGTCAATAATCTGCTTAACAGCATCCTGAACGGGAAGCTCATCGTTCTTAACATGAACCTCAGGGTTAGCAGGAGCCTCATAAGGAGCCGAGATACCGGTGAACTCCTTAATAACACCCTCCCGAGCCTTCTTGTACAGACCCTTAGGATCACGCTTCTCAGCAACCTCAACGGGGACATCAACGTAAACCTCAACGAACGGCAAACCAGTCTCCTCGCCGGGAGTGGCGACCTCGTGCAGCTGGCGGGCTGTGTCGCGGTCCTTGCGGTAGGGCGAGATGAACGAGGTGATGGCAATCGAGTTCGAGTCCGCGAAGAGCTTGGCGACCTCTGCGATGCGGCGGATGTTCTCGTTGCGGTCGGCTTCGCTGAAGCCCAGGTCCTTGTTCAGGCCGAAGCGGATGTTGTCGCCATCGAGGCGGTAGGCGTGCACGCCGTGGTCGCGGACCAGCTGGTGCTCCAGTTCCACGGCGATGGTGGACTTGCCTGAGGCGGACAGGCCGGTCAGCCAGATTGTGAGGCCCTGCTGGTTGCGCAGCTCGGTGCGCTCCTTGCGGGTGAGGGCGCTGGCGTGGAAGGTGATGTTGCTGTAGTGGGGTTAGTTTGGTGCAGGGGTGGAATGGGAGTGGGATTGGGATCGTACGTAGACATTTTGGAGGAATTGCACACTGTACAAAGGAGATGTAGGAAGAAGAAAGACGAGGGGCAGTTGAAACGGGGCCGCGTAAGAAGAAAAGAGGATCCGCGGGGCTTGCAGATCTTGGCGGTCAAGTATACGATGGCGCAATTGTATACGAGTGGGTTGAGTTGAAGGGAATAGACAATATAGACTATATAGACAGCTTCTCTATATTTAACTTATATATTCTATGTACATCTATAACTCCCTACGCCAGGAACCAGGAACGAACCATGCAGAAATTTCAGAAAGTTACGCCACCTTGTAAAGACTCGATAACGCCTGCACAATTAGCGTCCATCAGGAAAAAAGTAGAAATGGAGCACTTACAGCAGCCTGCTTGGGCTCAATGAACAAAGCCTTGGCCTCAACTAACACAACAGGGTCCTTCCCATCAGCCGGGAGAGTTTCAATGCGACCCTCAACCCACGCCTTGCGACCCTCAACCTTGACAGTCTCAGCGCGGAGAGCCACATAGTTATTCGCCATAGCCGGAGCACGGTAATCAATATTTAAGTTGGCAGTCACAGCCACCTTATTAGGCAAAGCCGGGAAACAGCAATTAGCAAGTCCCTCGTCGAGAATCGTCGCGAGCAGACCGCCGTGGACAATGCCCGGGTGCCCGCAGACATCGGAGCCGAGGTACATCAACGAAACCATGCTCTTGCCATCTCGCTCGCTGAAGACGAGGGGTGGCACGACGATCTTGTTCGGTCCGCGCAGGGTTCCGCCTGTCAGGCTGCGCTCGCGCAGGGCCTCGGGGATCTTGAGATGTGGGCGCGCTTCGGTAAATTCCGGGTTTGCGCGTAGGGACTCGGCGACGGGGTGAGTGCGGAGGGTAGTTTCGATCTCTTCGGCGATGGCATCCTCTGGTGTGTAGAGGGCCAGGGTCTCCTCGTTTGTGGGGATTGTGACGGACATGAGGCGCGATACGGTGCGTTGGGTTTGGTAGATTACGCCGAATGTAAATGCGAAAACTGCGATCGTTGTGAAGCCTGCGAAGCGGCGGAAACGCGAGGACTGGGCTGGAGATTGGAGAGATTGGGCGGCTTGGGCTTGTTCTGTGGTGTGTTAGAGTGAAGTATTCGGAAAGAAGGAGGTGTCTTACCTGTTGAGTAGGCTCGGTGGTGAGGCTTCGGGGAACCGGAGAAAGAACGTGGAGAGACTCGGCGCTGGAAGAGAAGTCGAGGAGAGATGTGTGAAGGGACGTTTGGAGAGAGAGAACGAAGGGAAGGGGAGAACGGACGAAACATGGCGAAAACGCAGGAAAAACCAGAGAGGCGAAGTGTTGAGACAAAGTTGAGAGTGGAGAGACCTCGGCATCTCCAATTCGGCGGACGGAGTTCGTGAATCTCACGGCATAACTTGCATATTGATTATAAGCCACTACTGTATTTTCTGTCTCTCATCTTGCATGTTGCCTTGTTTTTCCTTTTTTTTTCTCCGCCTGTTTTGCCTTTCTTTGCTTTTTTATGTGGTTCTATATTTTTTGTCCGAGTTAGCTCAGGCTGTTCCGCACTAGACCTGCACCCCAGATGAAAGGTTACATTAGTGGTATATTGGAGAGATTACAACTTGCTTTTCTATCTTATATGACCTTCTGTCAGTAATTCAATAATAATTGCCTTAAGCCCTTCTACATATCCTTCTTATAGACCCTCCGCCGTAGGCAGACATATAGTTCCACACTCAAGCTCTAGAATTGTCCAGTGGATTAGATGGGGCATATTCAGTGATAAATATAGTAATCCAATGGAAAATCCAATGGAAACATCCGACTATAGTTTAGTCTAAAATATGTCCAAGTTACTACAAATATCTATTCCACTCCAACCTCGGGCAGATCATCGGGATTCGGATTTGAGCACAAATCACCAGATTGATAAACGTTGAGGAGCTATTCCACATGGGAACTGGACCGAGCAACTAGTCTGATCTGCTCCTAAAGTAAAGATTATCCATTAGTATCTCCAAATCACCGATGCGCTTTCGAGGGTTTCATTGTTGCTCCCCTTACATAGTTTCCGGTTCCAAGTAATGAGGATTATTAGGCTCTTGAATAATGTACCTTCGGTTCGCATTCTGTCCAGATTAACATCTCCGAGGTAGGATTTCCGAATGTAATTCTCTTTGTCGAGCGCTATCGCGGCCTCGGGCAGGACTACTGTGGTGACTTGTTCCTGCATAGCTCGTAGCGACCAGGGCAGGTGAGCAACATTTTCTGAGGCCAAGGTACGAAATTTAAAAGAAGTAAACTGGCTTTCCTTCCTTCAATAGCTGTTGCTTGCCAGCCTAATTGTAATGGGCTATGCAGCAACAAGTCGCTACAATAGCCCCCTGCCCGAGAACGCGATGGTGCTCGACAACGAAATGATATCGGGGATTAGGGCAAGATGGTTAAAGGAAGTAGACTGGTCGTGTTCTGGAACCACGGTCAACTTAAATAAACCATAGCTTGATACAGAGTTGATCGTTTCTGTCGAGTTTATCATAACATATCCCACAGTCTTGCCTAAAGTGTAAGTCATGAGTAACCGTACAGTGTTGCGGCATCCCACCGTGGCTCAGTGCTACTTTGTTATGCGAACATCCTGCCCTTGGAAGTCATAATGTTATCGTGTTTGATGCTTGACAGTTCGGAATAATGACAGTATAAGCTAATGGACCCTCTTGATATAACACTATAAACACCGATATAATTAGGCTTAATACTGTCGATCTATGGACACTGGTTGAATATGTAGATAGGGACCATCACTGCTCTTATTCTCATTCGTTGAAAGAGTTCATTTTTCTTACTTTTGTAAGGTAACATGTATATCTAGCTAAGGTAGCATTCCAAGAATGAGAAATTTGTAGTAAAAGATATATATTGATTGAAAAAGCTACATTAACCACAATAAAAAACGTATAATTCCAGTCTCATCTAAGTCCTCAATAAAACTCCATTTATTTGTGATGGCTAATTTCTCAATCACAACTCCAAGGCTGTCCAACCACCACTGCAAACCCAGACCAATTGAACAGTTCTGCACTACCCATCGAATGAACATGTCACCCACATACCAGTTGATCACTATGTGGGATAAGAATGCACGCGGGGATCGACAGGGGAAGCACTGTACATGCCAGGCAAGCACGCCCTGGGATGCAGGGGTAGAGGGGATCTGCGGTAAACACCAGCCAGACTGCTGTTTCTAAAACGCGACTCGACTCTCAAATTTATTCGACCGGGCGACCATGCCACCATATCAATTACTACTGTCGCTGGTCCTTGCCAGTAGTCATGTTTTAGTTAACGCCGCGGACCCCTCTCCAGTAGAGGACTACGATGTCCTACAATATGTCGATCCCTTGATCGGCAGCGCCAACGGAGGTAAGCTTGAACAATTGGCAATTGGTCCTAGTCCTATGCTGATAATCGCGTCAACATAGGAAATGTCTTCCCGGGCGCTACATTACCATACGGCATGGCCAAAGCCGTTGCAGACACAGACTCAGAAAGCAACCAAGGCGGCTTCGCCTACGAAGGCGGCAATGTGACCGGTTTCTCGAGCATGCACGATTCAGGAACTGGAGGCAGTCCCTCGCTAGGAAATTTCCCGCTTTTCCCATATGCAAAATGTGCCGGCGATGAAGTGAACGGATGTGTATATCCGAAAAAGCAGCGCAAGATCAAGTATAAGCCCGACTCGGTGCAGGCGCATCCTGGATACTTTGCTATAGAGCTTGCGTCTGGGGTTCGTGTTGATATGACTGCTGCACAGCATACCTCGTTGTTTCGGTTCCAGTTTCCGAATGGTAGTAGTCCGTTGATTTTGCTTGATCTTACCGATTTGTCGGATTCTAGACAGGATAATGCGACTATTTCTGTGGATGAATCGACTGGTCGGATGACTGGTGATGCGCGATTTACGCCTAGTTTTGGGAGTGGATCTTATACGTTGTATTTCTGTGCAGACTTTGAGAGTCCGGCTTTGAAGCGGGATAGTGGGATCTTTGTCAATTCCCGCGCTAGTGCTGATGTTCACGATTTGAAGATTTCGAGGTCTATCAATGGATATCCTCTTCCGGTGAGCTGCGTAGCATCCTCCTAGTATGGCCATGGCTGATACATGAATATAGGGCGGTGGATTCGTCCGCTTCAAGTCTGCCCCAGACAATACCATTTTGGCTCGGGTTGGAGTTAGCTTCGTGAGCACGAAGCAGGCTTGCTCACACGCGGAGTCCGAGATCAAGGACTTCAATTTCAATGCTACCCATCAAGCAGCCATTGATCAATGGACAGAGAAAATGCGCCCTATTCGCGTGTCCCGGACTGGAATTGACAATTCTGTTCTCACCAACTTCTTCAGTGGTGTGTATCGCACAATGGTCAATCCCCAAGATTATACGGGAGAGAATGTGCTCTGGTCTAGTAATGAGCCGTATTTTGACAGTTTCTACTGGTGAGTCAACTTTGATTGGGAAGTGCATAGGCAAAGCTAACAATTCCCTCAGTCTATGGGACTCGTTCAGATCCCAAATCCCATTCTTGACTATCTTCGATCCTAACGCTGTGATCAAAATGGTCCGTTCACTTATCGATACCCAGCGCCATCTAGGCTGGCTACCAGATTGTCGCATGTCTCTTTGCAAAGGTAATTGCCTAGCCGTGTATAACAGGAATAAATACTGACATAGAATACCTACAGGATACACCCAAGGCGGCTCAAATGCAGACAACATCCTAGCAGACGTCTACCTCAAAGGCCTCCGTGATGGCATAGACTGGGACGCCGGCTACGCAGCCGTCCAAAAAGACGCCGAAGAAGAACCATACGACTGGTCCAACGAAGGCCGCGGCGGCCTACGCAGCTGGAAAAACCTACATTACATCCCAGTCGAAGACTTCGACTACGAAGGCTTCGGCACCATGACCCGCAGTATCTCACGCACACTCGAGTATGCATACAATGACTTTGCCATTGCACAGATGGCGCGCGGTCTCAACAAGACAGCCGACGCAGAGCGGTACGAGAAACGATCTCGCAATTGGCGAAATCTTTTCAAGAAAGATCAGACATCTCTATGGAAAGGCAACGATACTGGCTTTACGGGATTCTTTCAGCCGAAGTATTCGAATGGGACGTGGGGATATCAAGATCCACTTGCGTGCTCGAATATTGATATGAGTGGTCGTGCATGTTCGCTTCAAAATACAGCGGGAGAAACCTTTGAATCGAGTATTTGGGAATATCAGTTGTAAGAACATCCAACCCCATCCATCCCTATACCCCCTAACAAACTAACCAGCTTCGTCCCCCACGACATGTCAACCCTAATAACCCACCTCGGGGGACCAACCAACTTCACAAACCGCCTCGACCACCTCCACGACACAAACATAACCTACATAGGCAACGAACCAGCCTTCCTAACAGTCTTCCAATACCACTACGCCGGCCGACCCGCAAAATCCACATCCCGTGTCCGAACCTACATCCCAGACTACTTCTCACCGACACCAGCAGGACTACCCGGAAACGACGACTCAGGCGCAATGGGCTCATTCGTCGCGATGGCCATGATGGGTCTATTCCCGAACCCGGGCCAGAGCGTTTACCTGCTTACCGTGCCGTTCTTTGAGGCTGTTAGTATTGTTAGTCCACTTACGGGGAAAACGGCGACGGTTAGGGTAGTCAATTGGGCGAAGTTTAATACTGTTAATGGGACGGTTGGGTCCGGAGGTCGTGGGGGGAGTGGGTTTATTCAGTCTGCTACGCTTGACGGGGTTGCTTATACTAAGAATTGGGTGGGTCATGATTTCTTTACGGAGGGGCGGCAGTTGGTCCTTGTGCTTGGGGATGTGGAGGGAGATTGGGGGACTAAGAAGGGGGATTTGCCGCCTTCGCTGGCTGGGGAGGTGGCTGGAGAGAGGGAGGATAGGGTTAGGGGTGAGCATGTAAGGAGGTGGGAGGGTGTTGTTGATGATGGGCTGTTTGTTGGTTCTTCTCTTGGTGGTCAATCCGGGAAGCATTTGCATTTTGAGAGGCATGGTCGTGTTGCTGGGGGTGGGCATTTGGGGAAGAAGGGTTTTGGGCTTTGATATTGGATTGCTAACCCTAACTTGCCCCTTTATTGTCTCCTATGTTATTTTAGGATGCTTTATCTTCCATTCTCGTTGTTTGAGTTATTTCAAATGCTGTGCCCTTGGGAATTAATGCTAGCTGAGCTTGTAAGATTGATAGGGTCCAGGCTATTTGATGTTGCTTATAGTTAGCCCTAATCGGGGGAACCTTTCCATCGCCAAGTAATACCTACCCAAGAACAGCAATGATGGTTGACTACATTGCAGTTAATATGGAACAAGGAGAATATATGAAGATAATAAGAAAGTCTTTTGGGAGGTTAAGCTCCACAGTCATAAAAATCGAAAACGTATATACAGGCAGGTAATGTTAAAATCATCAAAGCGCTAGTCTTTCGCACGACCCCCAACGTCACAATGAATCAAACCCCAAAAAAAAAAGAGTATTAAAACAACCCTACAATCCAACCAATGCTTTACTGAGGAGGACGGTGGAACTTGCTCTCAACCCAAGGCATGCCAACAACCTTAGCCTTGCGGACCTTGTTACGGACCTTAACGCCAAGCTCGGTACCCTTCTTATGATACCCAGTGTTGACATAAACCATAGCAATATTGGCACCGCCAAGCGAGGGGCTGGGCAGACCGGAGGTGACGACGCCGACTTCAACGGGGTTGGCGGGGTCAGCGATATCAACTACAATAGCGCCCTCGCGGGCTGGGGGACCCTTCTCGACGGTTAGACCGACGCGGCGCTGAGCAATGCTCTTGGGACTGGCGATCTGGGAAAGGATGACGGATGCACCGTTGAAGGTGGCTGTTGCGGGGTCTCGGCGGTCACGGCTGACAATCCAGCCGAGGGCGGCGGCGGGTGGTGTCTGTGCTGTGGTGATGTCGTGGCCGTAAAGACACATGCCGGCTTCCAGGCGGAGGGAGTCGCGGGCGGCGAGGCCGGCGAGACGGGACTTGCTGCTGTCTGCGAGGAGGAGCTCAGTGACCTGCTCGGCGAGGTTGGGGGCTCCGGATGTCGGGATGGAGATCTCGAAGCCGTCTTCGCCAGTGTAGCCCGTGCGAGAGATGAGGAGTGGGTTGGGGGTTGGGGTGCCGTCGGGGAGAGTGAGGTGCAGCTCGCGGCAGTTGCCGAAGTAGAGGGTGCTCAGGTCGGTCTCGGCGGATGAGGCATTGGCTGTGTGGATAAGAGGTTGGAGGACGGAGGCGGCGAGGGGGCCCTGCAGCGCGACCAGCGCGCGGTCTTCGAGGATGTCCCATTTGAGGCTGTCGGCGCCGTGCTGGGAACGGTAGGCTTCGATCTCGGCGGTCAGATAGGCCAGGTCCTCGGTGCGGCGGCCGGCGTTGGTCACGAAGTAGAAAGTGTCCTCGGTGCGGCGGGTGATGACACAGTCGTCGACAATTCCACCGGTGCCTTCTTCCAACAGGCAGGACAGGGTGGAGGAGTTAGGAGCCAGCTTGTCGACCGAAGAGGGAGTAATCTTCTTTAGCAGATCAATGGCGCCGGGGCCGCTTAGGTGGTGCTGCACCCTGTGGAACGGAAGATTGATTAGCCATTGCAGGTCAATTCCGCCTCGGAAAGGTCAACTTACATATGGCTGACATCAAAAAGACTGGCCTTCTCGCGCGTCCACATGTGGCTCTCCACATGGCTCATATCGGAGTAGACGAGCGGCATATCAAACCCGGCGAAGGGGACCATCTTAGCCCCGCGCTGGATGTGGAGATCATAGAGCTGAGTCTTGCTAAGAGACTCATTGGAGCTGGAAGCGTAGCGCACAGCCTTGTTAGCAGCTCGCGATGCTGCGACTGCAATTGGAGCCTTAGACCTCAACGACCGAGGGGCAGTTGGGCGGACGATGGCCGCGGAGGAGAGCTCCCTCCGCAGCATAGTGGAGCCGATAGAGGCGCGGGGAGCGTGGAGGGCAGCAGCCCTCGCGGCGACGAGGTCGACACCGCGCTTGAGAGTACGGACGCTAGACATGGTGAATCAATGCTAATGAATCGAAGAGAAGAAAGAAAAGAGGAAGAAATGGACTGTAAGAAGTCACCAATCCACCCTCGGGGAAGCAGTGCGGAAAAGTCACGTGGTGATAGGGCGAATACCGGAGCAGCTGTTCGCCCGATTGGGAGTGCTCTATAGCGGGCGGACTGCGTTATGTCGTCGGGAATCACAATTGCCTTATATATTGGCATTTCTAACAGGCCAATATTATAGTAATAGCTACTAGAGTATACTTAGGGGGTAGATACCACATCAAAACGCTTACTGGTGACCTCCACCGATCAAAAGTAGACCCAGGCTGTACAACCCGGGAGAAACTAAACATCAACCGGAGTACAATCGGAGCAGTGCCGCGGCAATGGCAAGTCAAAACCGGAGAGCGGGCGTGACCCCTCCAAGCCGATAGCCTACATTTAATTGAGATCAATCTGTGCAAGGAATGCAGGGATGAAAAATATACATATAAAGGCGTTGCAAGACCCAACTCCCCGGGCGTCCCGCCAAACCATACAAAGCGAGTTTCGATGGAGGATATCCCCAAACCGCAGAGCATGATCCGCCCCAGAAAAAAATAAACCACCTGATATCCCAAGTGGTGGAATTTATGCAAAAAACAAGATTTCACAACCCCTTCTCGGTCATCAGAGTCATGAAGTTCCCGGAGTCCAAGCGCCGGTAGATTGAAAATAACATGCAGAAGATGCGATAAACGCGACAATTCTTACAAAAAAGCACTCAGCTCTCCGCCCCGCGGTGGTTTAGAGTGCGTTACTGGCACATGTGAAGACGCCGCCGACGGTGCCTTCCCGGTAACTGGTTACAACAGACATAACGGCAGCCTGGAAAAGAAAGAGAAATGTTAGCGGCGGTTCACCAAAAGCCAATAGCCACGTACGGACAGAACCCATGGCGTGGAGAAAACTTACATAAGTACCAGGTCCCAAGAAGAAGAATCCAACAAGAATAAGGAAAACATTAAAAATGAATCCCAACCAACCACGAATACCTCGAACCATAAAGAAGCGAGGTCCATGATCTGCAGCGCGCATGCGCATATACGCAGTTCCCCAGAAAATGAAACCAAAGAAAGAATCGAAAAGCGAACTCATAATCGACAACAGATCCGAGAAGAAGGGGATAACCTCCGCAATGATCCAAGCCATGATCCACAGCCCAGCAAGGATTCCAGCCCAGGCAGCCCATCCAACAACGGTGTTGTTACCCTTGTGGCGGGTTCCCTCGAATAAGCGGAAGAAGATGAATCGCGCCGAGACTGAGGCGTACAGGACACCCAGGAAGATTATGGTCGGAATCATAAACGAGAATGAAACCTTCTTGTACACTTCGTTGCCGAGGGAGCCGAAGGAGGGAGCGGTCATATACTGCGTTCCGACATAGACATACGTGATAGCACCGACCAGACTGAATACGATGATTTCCGCAATGGTAACTGCGGTCACAGACTTCCAGAAATCGCGGGGCTCCTTCATCTCAGCGATGAAACTGGGCAGGGTGATCTGGCCAATGAAGGTATAGCTGATATTCAGGAACGCGTTCATGCCCTTGACGAACGTCGTGCCCTTGGGCGGGATGGCGAGGAAAATCGGGTCCCCGTCTGCCGGGGTGTATCCCTTAGGATGGTCTTCGACTCCAGCGAAGACGGCTGCTAGGATGACGGAGATGAAGGTGAAGAATGCTGATAAGGTTGCTACCTTGGATAGGGTGCTGAATGTACGTGGCAGCGAGAAGATCCACGAAATGATGGCCACAATCAGTGAGAATACCACTGTGCAGACGGCGCCGTTGGACATTGTGTTCAGGTACTCGGCGCCTACGACACAGTGTAGGCCTTGGATGAAGGTGTTGTTCAAGAGGAACATCACTGCTGTGGCCCACCAGGCGATCTTGGAGTCCCAAAATAGGTACTGGCCAATGTCACATACGTCGCGGACTTCAGGGTGTCGCAGACAGAATCTCCTATCAGGTTATTAGTACTAACGGGGGTTGCAGATGCTGCGAATATTCATACCAGGTAATCAGCGAGGTATACAGGACGATTCCAGCAATCACCACCGTCAAAATCAAACCCGGGACAAGGCCCAGAATGGAATATGACCAGGGGAAGGACATAATAGCCAGACAGATATACTCCGAGAAAAGCAATGCAGCAGTCTGTAACCATAGATTAGTAAATTGCGCCCTATTGGTTCCTCAATTTACTTGCGATGCAAGTTTCGACATAAAACCCACCTTTTGCCAACTACACGTGCGGTACTTGATAGTATTCTCCGACTCCAGCTCAATCTGGCGCCCAACACTTTCCGTCGTGGAAGAAGAGTCAAGCGCATGAACATGTTGCGAACTGCGGCGACGACCATGACTCTCAATGTCATAGTCCTTCAGCTTAGGCTCCTCTGATTTATCGGAGAGGTCAGGGCTGCGGCTGATATCCCGGTCGTGATCCCAGCCGACCGGGGCTGGTGCTGCTGTTGATTGATTTGGCCCGGCCATTTTGAACTTAACGAGCGGACGAGTCGCGCTTGTCGAAACTCGGTGGAGTTGAGAGGAGAGGTGACTATCTGCGGATGCATGTAATTCTCTCTAAGATATGCTTGATAGGGTGCTGGTCGCGTGCGAGGGGAGTGTCTTTTCGTGATAATTGCGCCGATCAATTCGCCTTGCTCCAACGCAAGATGAAGTCCCTGTGAGCAGTGGTGACTAGTAGTGACTGCGGAGGTGGAGGTGGAGGTGGACGGATTAGGGCACGGATACTACCTGAGGTAGTATTGCCTGGATAGAACCAAACTGGGGGGAAGAGGAAATAAGTAAAGAGAAGAAGAGATCAGAGAACACAGACACCAAGAGACTAAGCTAAAAAAAAGAAAGTCTAAGAGAAAAAGAAGATTTAGATACGGTAGAACAGTCGATTCCGTATTGTCATTTCCAATTGCTCCACTGCCAATCCCGGACTGAAAAACCTGTCGATCGCAGAGGTCGAATGCTAAGTATATGACGTGATGGAGTAATCCGCAATGGGAGAGGCGTAAGCCACCGCTTGGACGCCAAGGGGCAGTTGATACCCTGGAACGGCAGCTGGATCCTTGATTCTGATAGTCCAACTTTTCCTTTTTCTGACGCTTCAATATAGCTTCTTTCTTCTTCATTTTTGGTCACTTTTTTCCACTTTTTTATTTCGCTTTTTTTTTTTGTATTTGCCAGCAAGGGGGGCCACGAGACAGTTGATTGGGGGCATGTCGGTTGCGCCCGCATATCATATCAGCTCCATGCAGGCCCCGCATGCGGCAATGGTCGAGCGAATGAAGCCCCATGCTTGGTGAGTCGGAATCAGAATCCATGCACACGGGGCACTGAAAACATGGATGCTCTGCCTGGTATTCGAGTATTGAGCGTAAAGTGACCATTTCCCGAGATCTGATTCGATCATTGTGGCTGAATGCGATGGGGGCCAATCCCCCGACTTGACCACTGATGTGGTGATATTTCCTCAGTAGGCAACTGCGGGATCTGTGATAGAGTGTACATGTAAGTCGCATCCATGAGGGTCTAGGTTTTCAGAGGTTGATGCTGTTAGAACTACATCTAGATTTCTGTTGTCACTTGGTAGAAATGCCCCTTTACGCCTCAGGCATCAACATTGAATCTGCACGTGCGGCTGACTCATGGCTGAGTCACCTCACCTGGGCCGTATGGCCCAAGCTCAGTGGGCAGGTCCTCCCGAACGTCCATTGATTGGTACCGTAGTTCGCCTTCATCACGCATCATGCCACCAGGGCATCCTTGGAAACAACCATGAATGACATACATATGGCCTGACACCTGAACAGTTCTTCCCAAAAATACGATATACCCATACCAATACCAATACCAATACCAATACCAGTTCTGGCCCTTTCCCGCTCTTGCGTGCGAACCCGCAGCGATGGCATCAACACTCCACCGGGCGCTGAGCCACCGGAGCGATCGAAATAGCTTATTTGAATGCCCCCTGCTCGTACTACCTGCTGTTCTAGGCGTTTACAGCTTGCCACTCTGCCGAATTTACTGAAGTGCAGTAGGCAATCTTGGGAATCTGGGTTTGCCTTATAAGACTTGCAGGCAACGCCACACCTAAAGTGGTCTAGTAGATGTAGATATACAGAGGTGATCCGTTCTTGGAAAGCTTGCCATATTGGCGCCCAGAGCTGCGGTAGATAGTACCTACAGGGATTCCCCTTTACCAGGTCGTCACTTTTTAGTACTTAGTGATTGCCGCAGTAGATCTGAGCTTCGGCCCAAAGGAATGCGCTTCTGTTCTTATTATATGGCTGCCAGTAGTCTCTGGCCCAAGTGGCTAATCCACCGCTTATCCCGAATACAACACATTACATTGCAGTAATGCGCCAACATCACGAGAGAAAAAAGGCGTCCGCTCTCTAGCAAGTTCAAAGAAGTGCACAGGAGTGAGGGAAATCCATAAAGATCCTGCCACCAATTCTTCCTCCCCTACGTCTATTGCGCCTAATGGGCTCTCTAAATTGACAATCGCAGATTGGAATACCTCTGTCACTCCTCATTTTCTTGATTTTGGCTACGATGTCTCATGTTCACTTCAGAGAGGAGGGATATCGTCAGGCGTGATGAGTCTGAAAGCGGGACGTAGCTCACGATGCTTAGCAATGGAGCTAATCGACCGTTCTCAGTCCAATGGTGATTGTCCCAGTCAGATGCACCAATGAACTGTGACAGCATATTGGTAGCGACTTTGACATTGTCGAGTGCTGAGAGCGCAAGCATGCCTTTTAGCAGATGCAGATGGGATCTTGAATCTTCTGGGACCACATATTGCCAGAGTTATTCCACATTGGGGGGTCTGGAAACTGTGCGATATGTTGACTTACACCAGTGTGCGATATTGACTGTCGATAATCAAGTTGCGTGAACCAGGCTGTCTGGAGCCTTTGGTACGGTGAGACTGAGTGACCTTGGCATATTGAGACTTCACCGATGGAGCTCACCACTTTGTGCCCAAAAAGCTGAGAAGGTCGAGTGTCCTGTGAGGTCTTCCGTGTGAACCGCCCTGATTCGGTATAATGGCAGTTGGTCCTGCGAGATGTGCAATTCCTGCATTTTGGTCGTTGCTCATGGCACCACTCTCGCCTAAGCGTAAAGGCAGGATTTAATCACAAAAATTAACCTTGACGCTCCTTCGCTTGCACTCTGAACAGCCGTGGCGTGACTTTCCGCATTTGCCTCGTAATGTAATCAATGCGTCTATCCAGGCGCAGAGAGCGGCATGATGAGAAACAATGTCGTATATATGAACAATCTTTAGTCTATTGTACTATTAAAGTTCAAGATATATGTTATCCTTACCTTGACTATCGGGCCGTTGTAGAAAACTTCGAAGACTGCTTGATAGAGACATGTATTGATGTTCTCGGGAAACATTCTGGCATATTTACGCCCAACTATTGGCTAAATACCTCAAAGCCCCATGCAGCTAAACTGCAAATAGTAATAATTACGAGTTTCCTTACACTAGCGGTTTCCGTGCCCCTACCACATCGATCGATGCTTAGGGTTGAGCTCCTGGGTGGAATCATATAAATTTCTTCCTATAGTGCTAAAACGAATTTAAATACGAAATCGCACTACTTTATTCAGTAGGATTACCATCGAATTTCTTACATCATGTCTCTGGTGTTATCCCTCCTAAAAGTTACGGCGCTTCTCATCAGAGCATGGGCAAGATATCAAGGCGGTATCTCTTCTGATCCAGATGAGGTCCTCTAAATTCAGTCCAGGGACCTAGAAAGATACGATCAAGATTTACTTCTACCGCCCACCAACAGTATCACTACAAAAACAATCCCCAGTCCTGATCAACTTCCACAGAAGCGGCGTCGTGATCCCAGCCCACGGCAGCGACGACGCATTCTGTCGCCGATTGAGCCAACAAACCAAGTACATCATCATCGACGGCCAATACTGCTTTGCTCCGGAACATTCATTCCTAGCTGCACTGCACGACACGGAAGACGCCGTCAACTGGGTTCTCGGCCAACCGAGTATATTTGATACATCACGCGTTTCCATACAGAAATTTAGCGCGATGAAAACCTTGCCTTCGTAGCTTTCTCGTGCATCTTTGCCCGGGACACTTTCTCCTCGGTATTGGCTTTCTATCCTGTCGTCGAAGCTTTCGCTGATCCCGGCTTTCTGGTTACGGTCAACCCATGCTGCCGTTCAGGATACGGTTCTTTGCAAAGTGTTATATGCCCTCAAGTGTTGATCCCGTGATCCCCGTATTCCGCCTTCTTATGCTACTCTTGACCGGTAACTGTGTCGGGGTTTTATTGTCACGGCTGCTTATGATAACCTGGCGATTGAGAGGGAGCGTTTGGCGGCGAGACTGTAGGAGTCGCCTGCGAAGGAGGTTGTTAGTGAGCGGATCGAACGGTGTAATCACGCTCGGGATAAGATGGCCAGCAGAGGGACGCCTGAGTGGGAAGCGAGAGAACATCCTTATGCTCTGGCTAGGGACATGTCGAATGTGGGTTGAGTTCTGGTCTAGTAGTCGTCACGACTGACCCATTGTAACTGCGCTTGAATGGGAGTGTTGAAGAGGACTGGAATTTACCCACTCTGAGCGTCCTCATAAGAATGGCAACAGAGTGAATATACTAGAGGTGTCTAGGTAGATACAGGATGTATAGACAATGAAAACAGAATAAAAAAGCAAAGAATAGGGAAAGGCACGCACAGCCCAACTCCAGATGGGAAACAGAATTTTTGGTAGCGGGCAAGGTAGGATAAATACAAAGGAACTCTTTACATGCCATCGTCGTCGTCGGCCAACAGCGCAGCATAGTCGTCCGCCGAAGCGAAAGTCGGCAGCTGCTTGAGCTTGCGACGCTTCTTGCGATCTGACTCGGCCGGCGCAGGAACATCCGCGGGAGTAAGATCCATTCCGCCCAGCTCGATGTCCGAGGGGAGGTCCTCGTCGCTGTCGACGAAGGCTCCGTCATCTGAGACGTCCATGTCGAAGTTGTCTGAGTCGTCGTCCTCGTCTTGGGCCTTCTTGCCCTTCTTTGTCTTGGGAGCGGGAGCGGCTTCTTCAGGTTCGCTGAATTCGGCCATTTCCTCGTCGGAGGGCACGTCTGACTCGTCGTTGAAGATAACGCCGCCGTCCGAGTCCTCGCCTTCGCCTTCGCCCTCGTCTTCTGAATTGTCGAAGGCAGACTCGAGGTCGTCCATATCCAGATCGTCGTCGCTGTCTCCGTCGGCTTCCAGTTCGGGCCGGGAGTCGACGAGTGCTTTCCAGATCTCGTCTTCGTCGTCGCTGACGCCGTCAACGTCTTCTTCTTCATCGCGGGCGACGGGGTCGACGTCCTTGCCCTTCTTCGCGCGCACCTTCTCCTTGTCCTTGTTGACACGGGTGAAGTACTCGTGGAAGAAGACATCTTCGGCGGCAACGTCGGCGGCCTTCTTCTTCCAGAATGCCTCGGTATTGAGGGGCAGTTCGTTCTGCGCCTTCTTGCCGGCTTCGACCAAGCGGTCGGCGGTTTCACCGCCAGCGAGGGGCTGCATGATCGAAGCACCGCGAGAGGGGGCGGACGCCTTGGGTGTGCGGTACACGAAGCGGTCGAGGAAGTGAGTGAGGGTGTGCAGGGTGAGGTCGGGCTTGCCGCTCATGGGGTTGTGCTCCAAGAGGTTGGCAGCGTTGAGGGAGACGGAGGGGTGGAAGTGAGTGGTGTAGGGCAGTAATTCCCAGAGGCAGCTTCGGTCGGCGTTGCTGTGCTCGGGGTCACGTTTGCGAGGGTCGTACATAGTGGATTCCTTGGGCTTGGTCTCCACGGCAGTGGGCTCTGGCTGCTCGTCATCTTCGTCGAGAACATCGCGGAAGACCTCTTCATCGTCATCTTCATTATCCTCGGGCTGGTCGAACAAGGATGAAAGGCCTGGGAAGGTCTTCTCAAGCTCGCGGATCAGGAAGAAGATACCACAGATGAAAGAGGGTTGATGTAAACCAAGCACCTGGACGATACGCTTGACAAATGCCTTGACTCGTCGGACATTGAGATCGTTCTTGAGGGCCTTGTACAGGAGGTTGAGGTAGAGAGACTGCTTGGAAGATGTAGCAACACGAGGGTCGAGCAAGGACTCGTACAGAGTGCGGTAGAAACGATCGCCAGCGACTTGGTTAGAAGCTGTAAGCTGTTGGATCAACATAAGAGCCTGGATACTGGTGTTGAAGTTGGAGGAGTGGGTGATACGGAACAGGGTGTCAAGGTGCTTCGACATGCTAGTAGAAAGTTAGTGTTTCGTTTCAAGCAATACAAGGGAAGTAACATACCGCTCGGAGTTCGAGTCAGTGAAAGGATATGCACGGTTGACACCAGTCAAGACACCAGAGATGAGCTTCTCGCGCATCTCGTCGTCCTGAGCCTGACCCTTAGCAGGATCTTCTCCCTTGCCCTTTGATCCCTTGTGGTGGGGCTTTCCATGCTTGCCCTTGGATGCTTGCTTGTCCTCGTGCTTACGCTGAGGCTTCAGAAGGACAAGGAAAAGCCCGAAGTAGATGTCAAGTAGTTGGGAAGCCACCTGCTCTTCTTTCTGTCTCAGAATAGTCTGGTTGAGAGTAATGATGGCATAGTACTTGGCATGCTGGCTCTGCCCGGGCCGGAACAGCACTTCTTCGACAGACTTGATGATAGTGGGTTTCATAAGAGGATGCGCCTGCTCGAGCTGCAGCAAAAGGTATGATGCGCGAGATGCGATCTTCTTGCCTGGGTCTCCCAGTTTGTTGACTAAAAGACGTAGGAGATTGGACTCTTGCTCGGGCTTCTCCTTGAGAAGTTCGTAGACGTAACTGACAGCGCGAGTCCGCGAGAATTCAATCTCGTCGTTACACCAAATCTCGAGAATCTTAAGAATCTCGAAGAATTGATCCTTGACGATGTTTTCGTAGGCCCAGACAATAAGGTGGCTCTTTTGTACACCACCGGGAAGAGGGTCCTTATCGTTCCACCGGCCACCAGCACCCTGGAAAGCTGCAACGAGTCCAGGTTGGTTGGCGAAAGATCGAAGTCGGCGATCGTTGGGAAGCAGAGTACCCTGGGCGAACATATCCTTCAAAGATCGCAGGACTTCGACTGCTTGCGCACGACTACGCTTCTTTCCGAGGGCAATCAGGGTCTCCAGTCCCTTGGTGTTATGGAGAGGCGATTCTTGGACGTTAAGAGTCAATGCGGAAATCTTATCGCTCAGGGTACCAGACGCCATGATAGTTGAGTAGAACTTGTGGGACGAAGAAGCGGAAGCTCTCTGGGCTGCCGCATATTGCTCGTTTTCTTCCTGGAGCAAGGTGTTTCCAAGCTCGTGGATACGATCGATCATGTGACGGGGCAGGGCATTCATCTGCTTGGTGGTTGGGGGTAGAGGAGGAAGAGGTGCGTTATACCAATCGGCCCGAGGAGCAACGTTCTATTCTCTGAGTTAGCGACAGTATTGTCTGAATAGGTCGTGCATAACATACCAGCTTCGCAAATTCTTTAGGAATGGGAATTTCAGCTTTGTCTTTTGGGGCAGGTGCCTCCTCGATATCTGATTCCGGGCCACTGCTCTCTGCATCGTCTTCGCTTTCCTCGGCCTCGACATCCTCCTCGCTCTCTTCCTCGACCTCTTCCTCAATTTCATCCTCTTCTAGGTCCTCTGGCACGACGTGGCCAGCAGCCTCCAGCATACTGGAAAGTTGCTTGCGGAGGTCTTCATCACCACCCTTGCCCTTTGACTTGGGAACCTCGCCTTCGACCTCGGATTCGGAGTCGACACCAGCAAGAAGATCGAGATCTTCCTCGGTACCGCCCATAGCGAGGATCTCCTGGCGCAGGGTCTCATCATCATTGCTCTTCTTAAAGCCCTTGGGCTTCTCTGGCTTGTTCTTTCCACCCTTCTTCTCCTCCCGAGCAATCACCTCGCCGTTGCGATCCCGTTTCTTGCCTTGTGCAGCGTCTTGGGCTTTGCCGGGCTTGGCGGGGGATTGTTTCCCTTTCTTTGTAGAAGCATCCTCAGTAGGCGCTTTAGACTTGTTGTCTTTTCCTTTTCCTTTGCCGGAGTTCTGGTTCTGGTTCTTCAGACGTTGTTCGATTTTCTGTCGGAGACCTGCGAAGGCGCTCTCGTCCGGCATGTTCGGCGTAGGTTGGACATCGGGAGCTGAAACGCTGGCTTCAGGCACAATCTGGTCTTCGCCCGAGGAGCGCTTTCCTTTCCCTTTAACCATGATGTGTGGTGGCGTGGGATTGACTGATGTTGGAGAAAAGAAAATTGGACGGAGAAATCTTTTGCGGCGGGTTTATCGGGCGCTCGGACCAGGCCGATAAGAAACATCAGGGAGACTTCGAGTTACTCGACTATTTCTATTTCAGCTTCCTATGCAATTCGTGAAAATCCTCTCAAGTAGGATCTCACTATGATTTCTGGGCTGCGACCCAGTCTTGCGCGTATCTCGTCGCGCCGGCTGGCGTTGAGCCTCCGCGTCCAGCAATGCCATCTTCACGTACGCCCTTCCATATTGTTCAATGGCCTGAAATCGGTATACTGACTTGGCTTAGATTGATGGCCGTAGCCGCGTGTCGAATTTCTGGATTCCTACCGGTGGTATCTCGAAGAAATCCGTCGACGGAGAAAAAGGTGCGCCATCTGCAACCCCGATACAATTGGCGATCACCGCATACTAATAAAGCCTTAAGAGGATGCCAATGACCTCCTCGTTAGAGGTGGCTTTCTTCGACAAGTATGTACTTTGGCTTTTATGTCTTTATATACATCCCTAACTCTATACAGGCGTACTCTGGAGTGTTTCACATGCTTCCGCTTGGGTTACGTGTCCAGGACAAGCTAGAAGGTCTAATTGACAAGCATATGCGCTCACTAGGTACGATAATTTACCATACTGTCCAGTCATTGTCACTCATATGTATTAGGCGCCTCCAAGGTCTCGCTTTCTTCAATATCCTCTCAGGAACTTTGGGAACAGTCTGGCAGATTGACCGAGGGATCAGAAGTAGGTCCACTTTTCAGGATGGTATAAAGCGTTCTACTAACCAAAAGTCTAGCTATTTCGGTTTAACGACCGGAAAGATACTCGTTTTCTCCTAGCTCCAACTCACGAGGAGGAGATCACCTCCCTTGTTGGGCATCTGACAACGTCATACAAGAGCCTGCCATTGCGAGTATATCAGATTTGTGAGACTTGTCTCTTCCGGGTTGAAATTGTTCAATATGCTGATTGGAGTATTTTTATCAAGCCCGAAAGTACAGAGATGAAGCTCGGCCGAGACAAGGCCTGCTCCGTGGGCGAGAGTTCATCATGAAAGATCTCTATACATTTGACTACAGTGTCAGCGAGGCATTGAAAACATACAATGCAGTAAAGCAGGCCTACACAAGGCTTTTCGACGAACTTAAGATCCCCTATCTGGTTGCTGCAGCAGATTCCGGGAACATGGGCGGCTCATTAAGCCACGAATACCATTTTATCAGCCCCAAGGGCGAAGACGATGTGGTCAGTTGCTCACACTGTGACCATGTGTATAATGAAGAGCTTGCCGATGGTAAGACGCACAACTTCGAAGACACGGAGCAGAACAGGATATCTGGATTCCAGACCGGTGATGCCGAAATCGAGGGCGGGTCGACAATTTCAACTGGCATGTGGATGGCCATTTCCCACGACAGCAACACTATTGTACGGGGCTGGTACCCCAAATTCTCAATGCAAAATGGCGCCACGGAGCCCGTTGAGCGCCATGTCAACTCGCATGCGGTCAAGGCCATCGCGACCGCCGCTGGCATTGACCTCGATCTCAGTGTGGAGAACCCGCTGCAGAAGTGGAGTGCTCATGTCAAAAAGAACAAATCCTCAACAAACAAGCCACGTGTCTTGGATTTGTACGACTCGCAAGTTAGGGTATACCAACGTCCACCGCTAAGCGACCTTCTCCAGCAAGCTGGGTGCACGGCCGATGACATTGAGTACTCAAAGCTGGACCGGTTTCCCGACACCTCGAACAAGCTTAGTCTCGTCCGTGTCCATGACGGAGACCATTGCTCCCAATGCGCGCATGGATCATTGACTAGCCACTCTGCTGTCGAGCTAGGACACACCTTCCACCTCGGAACAAGATACAGTGAAGTCCTCAATGCGTCCGTATCAGTAAATTCAGCTCTCCTCGAGGGGCCTTCTGAGTCTGGTACGAAGCCTTCTGCCAAGGAACAAATTGTACCTATGCAAATGGGATGTCATGGAATCGGTGTCTCGCGTATGATTTCTGCCGTTGCGAACAGACTCGCAGACTCCAGGGGACTTAATTGGCCGCGTGTCATTGCTCCTTACGAGGTGGTCGTGGTCCCAGGAAAGGGCATGGAAAGCGTTGCTGATCAGGTATATGATTCCCTTACTGCAGACCCGTCCGCACCTGTCGATGTCATCCTCGATGATCGCGATAAAGGTATGGGCTGGAAGCTTGGTGATGCGGATCTGATCGGATACCCTATCATTGTGGTTGTTGGCAAGGGGTGGAAGAAGAAACAAACCCTTGAGGTGCAGTGCCGCCGGTTAGACGTCAAGGAGGATGTGCCGCTGGACAATCTGCGCACGTTTGTCGAATCTTTGTTGACGCAGCTGTGAATTTGATCGAGGTGGGATTTTCACTGTCCGTAGTATGTAACATTAGCAAGCCTATCGTTGAATTGTACATTATCTCATCTCACCTGTGGTGATAGATGTCGTTGGACCCTTGAGATTGTATTTCATCATCTGATGAAACTTTCCATTGCGCTATATACTGTATCACACCTAAATACGTCACGTCTCTGTGCCCTCAGCCTGTGTTTGTGTCCTGTTATACCCATAGTGCCCGTAACGTTCATTTTGTGGTTATCAGCATCTTCCCCATGTTAGTTTCATATAAAATTTCCATGATCGAAATGTCCGAAGCAATGATCATTTTACTATTGAGAGACGTTTACATAATTCTTCATTTTCGATCTATGCGAACTGGGCGCGTGAATTTAAACATGTACATGTAGTCAATTGGACAAAGGGTTGCATATGAGGGAGGGCCTATGAAATTGAGGTTGATAATGGTCGATTTGAAGGCTAGAAATGGCTCCCTTTCCGCAACTTCGAATCCCGCAGGACTTAGCAAGGGTCTTACCCGGCCCTTACATTTTTGTGACGCGAAAAAGCAGCGATTCTCTACCAGAAATCTCCAGTTTTACTAGGCATGCCACAGTTCTCAAAAATCCTCCCAATTACCGTTCACCATAGACTGACTTCTTTAACTAAGTTTAAACACTTACGACTTAGTATGTAAACTGATAAAACAAGAAAATGTAGCTCAGCTAAGGTAATCAATTTCTTGGGAGAGAAGCGGTACGCCTATAGACGGACTAGTTTCAGAGCGAAACAGATTTACTGTCCTGGCTGTGTCTCGGGGGTTTACTAAAATCATAACATACTTATCTCCTCTCAGAGCATATGTGGCACAATGTCGTCCTCGCCAGTTGTTTCACAATCTGCACTCATAAATTGCGCCCTCTAACGCTCCACAGCCCCTCCCAGAGGGTCTCACCTGTCAGTAACGCGAAATGCGCGCTGCAATATGGCGATATCGGGCAACCAATTATACTTGAGAGCTGACGGGCACAAAAGGGCCTGAGGCCAAAAGGATCAAGGAGTTTGGGTCGGGTCACGGGATTCAGGCTATCTGTTCTTAGCTTTCCTTCTGTGTGCATCTCATTGGGACCAATTTCATCATTCCATGGCCTTAATACATATCTTCAGAGCATCAGATCATCAGTAAATCCTCCAGAGAGGAAACTTGAGGTGAATCTTGGCGAGGGGAAAGCGTTGTGGAGTCGTGGGAGTGGGTGGTCCGAGATCCACCACTCGGACTCGCAGGACGGTGGATTTCCTCCCGTCAAGAGCCCCAAAACGAGATAGACTGATCATACGTGCAATTCGTATTCGTATTTTCAGGAGTTGAACATACCCCAGAATTCAACTAGAAAACCTATTGATACGAATCGCATGGTTTCACATTTGCCCAGCAGATTCTCTACTGAATTTCAATTTCCCCAAAACAATGGCTTAGAAGCCAAGCCCAACCTATCCCCAATTGCTGTCTGCCCCTATACAATCCAACATAAATAAATACATTTTGTATCAAGTAAATGATGTTAAGACATAGAATATGCAAGTGTCTATGCTTTGAGACACGCAAAGGGAACGAAAATGATACCTTTTGCAAGTATAAATACCTGAGAGTACCTGATACGTGAGAATTCTTCAATCAGCGCAGGACTCGCTTTTTGATATCCTTCAAATCCTACCTAGAGTAGTTCTTTTTCTCTCATTTGTTTTACATCAATTCCTAACGTCAAGATGAAGTATTCTGCTGTCTTCTTTGCAATCACCGCTGCGCTGGCGCAGTCTGCTTCAGCGCACTACATTTTCAGCAAGCTTGTTGTCAACGGCGAGACATCGAGTGACTGGCAGTACATTCGTCAGACTACTCGGAGCAAGAACTACATGCCCACCAAGTTCAGCTCCACATTCGACAATCTGACTCCCACTGGCAGCGATTTCCGCTGCAACTTGGGCTCTTTTACCAACGCCGCAAAGACCGAGGTCGCAGAGGTCGCCGCTGGTGATAGCATTGCCATGAAGCTCTTTTATGACGGAACTATCGCCCATCCTGGACCTGGGCAAGTTTGTATGAACACATTTTCGAATATCTATATTTAGTGTGCTGACTAGCTCTTCTACCACAGATATGTCCAAAGCACCTTCGGGTAATGTCCAGCAGTACGAGGGCGACGGTGAATGGTTCAAGATCTGGGAAAAGACTCTCTGCAACAAAAGCGGCGATCTCACCAAGGATGCCTGGTGCACCTACGGCATGTCACAATTTGAGTTCCAGATCCCTAAAAATACCCCGGCTGGCGAGTACCTCGTCCGTGCTGAACACGTTGGCCTCCATGGTGCTCAGAACAACGAGGCCGAGATATTCTACAGGTGAGACAACATGTGACCTTTTACATTGAAGGCATCATCTAATCAAGATATGCAGCTGTGCCCAGATCAAGGTCACTGGCTCCGGCAACGGCTCCCCCAGCTTGACTTATAAGATCCCCGGGATTTACAATGACTCCATGAAGCTTTTCAATGGTCTAAACCTTTGGACTGACTCTGCCGATGCAATTGAATCGGACATTCTGAACACGCCTATCGGTGACGATGTTTGGAATGGCAGTGGCTCGTCCTAGACTGCATTTTCTTCCTCTACAAGCTCCGCCTTTCCATATGCCACGCCTAATGGTGTGGAAAGTGTTAGCCGGAGCCGGTAGAGCCTGTGAACTACTAAGTCCAGTGGCTAGGTCTCGCCGATGACGCAGATCCATACACTGAACTAGAGTCAGTGGTCACCTTTTTCGCTGAATAAAATTACATGCATTTGGAGCGATGTTATTATAGGTGGACCAATGTAAAGTAGAAAGGATCTTAGCTATATATCTAGGTAGAAATACCCAGGAAGTGTTGAGCTATAACTTACATGTAGTGTATATTGTAGTCAACTGGTGATGAAACATACGGAATGTCTATAAACTCGATAATCGCGAGAATATTAGCCGCAAGCTCGCCTTCAGGCATACTAGCATCCATCAACGCCGCGACCACGTATCCAACTGGTCGATCGAAAGGGGGGGGGCTTTGTTCCTTATAGCTGGGGGGCTTCGAAGTGTGGGCTGAGCTCCTGATAGACCGGGAGACTCCAGGCGTCGAGGTCATCTCTCGCCATAGTCTTCAACTTGACATCCTGTCCACGTTATCCAATCCCACATGATACAAATTTCGCCATTGGGCACCGGAAGATTGAGCATCTCGACAATAAAGTCCGCAAGCAACGCCGATTCCTATTGAATTCGGATCGCTCCTTCAATCATCGCAGCGTGTTCTTCGAATTCCCCGTACTCGTAGAACCCACGGAGCTTTCTCTAGAAGCCAGTCTCTCTTCCTAGGTTGTGCTCACCCGGGCAGATTTAGCGAAATAATCTGGCCATAATTTTCAGTCTGTTGTGTGCAATGTGGCCTGTCATTTCATCAATCACATTTTCTCCTAAGCCAGATCTAACGGGACCAGAGGCGGAGAATGACGGGTTGCTTGGATCTTGATCTCGCAGAGCACGTAGCTCCTCTGAACCGGTATGGTAGCGTATTGGAGACAGACATTGACGGAAGCTTTCTCAATAATCGAGAATGTCCACCTTGGACGAGAGGTTGCTTTAAAGATTGCAACGTCATGGCGCACAGTATAAGAGAGAGAGATTGACAGATGGATGATGACACTTTCTTTATAGACATCGGCAGACCTAGGCCTTATAATTTCCGCAAGAATTTCTCAGATTTTACTCCCATTTCTCACCATTCCCACAAGACTCCCACGGGCCTATTGGGAGTCCAATATAGTCCTGCTAGCATAATTTCGCCAAGAAAATCCCAAAACGGATGTCATTGCCGAGTCAGCTTGTGCCAAGGATTTTTCATGTTTATCAATTACTTAGGCCATTACTTCTTAGAAATCAGACCTTACCTCCTACTACGCTGATCAGCCAATTTTGTGACCAAACTGTATGAGCTAAGGTGCGTATATCACAATGCAGAAATCAGCCTTCTTCTATACAACAGGTTAATGTGTATACGGTGTCACTGATGAAGTATTGTACAAGCTATAAGAAAGCTTTAAACAGAGCATACCGTTTCATGCATTGTTTTTGTCCAACTTGGCCCCTCTTTTTTTCACCTCTTTTTTCGCCTTTTTTTCACCGGGACCAGCCAAAAGATTCGTTCTCCCCGCCCAAGTTGAAACAACTACAAGTATCGTCTGCCGTTCTCGCCGATGATACCGGGTTTCGCAGCGCTAAGCAAGGTCTCCTACCGGTATACTTATCCGCCATCAATAGCTCCTCGACCAAAGGACCCTTTCAGCCGATCATCCTCCTCGCTCCGTCTCAGTTGATAGGGTAGTGGATAAATGAAATCACTGCACACTGGCTAGGGTTCCGCGTGGTCATTTCATATGCGAATAAGTGACTAGAGCACTTGTGAACAAGCTGGATAAACGCTTCATCTCCTGATTCCAAAAAGTCTCTTTTGGAGTCCCATTGTAAAATAAGGTCAACATGTGAGTGGGTTCGCCCGTCTTGAGGCAGAGTACAAGTACGGAAAAGATACTAATGGAATATGTCTTAATACTAGTGAGAACAACGGAAACTGAAAACTTTGATGCGTTTGGAAATGTGAGTTAGGCCGGCTTTTTGGAGGCCCGATCTACTACCCATTGCAGAGCAGCCTTATCCTTCGCCCTCTGTGCACTCCGGGCCTCCAGGGCATCATGCCGAGCAATGATTCTGTTCATCGGGGCTTCCATCTCCTTCCACTTTACAACCAGAGCCTCCTGTCTTATATCCAGAGCGTTCTGTCGAGCATTGTGGCTGTTCCGCCGGGCTTCTATCTTTTTCATCTCTACATCCAGGGCCTTTCGTTCGGCCTCGATGCTGTCATCCAATTCCATCCGCTCTATCTGCAAAGTGGCCTTGGCGACCTCATCATCCACTGCCCTGGCGCTCCGGGTGATGCTGGCATCGGTACGCTGCTCCTTCTTTTGTGTTCGAGGAGTTGAGCCGGATGCAGCGGCCATCTTCTGTGGCTGAGTAGAGTCAAAGGCCCTTTCCACGGTCTCTCGGTTGACCCATCTCAAAATGTCGCCTTTGTCAACAGCATCCTTCAGGAAGCCCGCCAGATAGCGAGAAGAGCCTTTCTTTGCGGCCGTGACAAATTCTGCGTTCCAGATTCTCAGGGTCACGACCACGATAAGGAGCTTCTTAGCCCGGGTCAAGGCCATATTCAACCGCCTGTAGCTGGAGATAAAGCCGACCTCAGTCATGGAATTAGTGCGGGGCTTCGTGAGCATGAAGATGACGATATTAGCCTAAAGGCCCCTCAACCCGAGTCAGCAAAGCGGCGACAAGGCCAAAAAATCGATAAAGACCACATCTTTCTTCAAGGCATGGAGAACGCTGAGTTCAGAGTCAGTGAAGAAATGACAAATGAGAGCTAAGCTAACCTGGCTTTTTTCTTAGCCCAATTTTCACTCCCTCGCCCTTTGAAAACAACCAGACTAAGGATAGACTGAGGATGCGTTTCAAGCGCCTCGCGGACTGTACCCACGCCGCTACCGCACCTGATTCAACACCAAACGGTGAGAATATCGATGGGGAGAACAAAAACACGGAAGCCGACCACACCTCTCCTGACAACAGCCTCGATGAGAAGAATAGCGATGATGCCAACGCTCCAGGCTACCTAGGTAGGTTGAAGGGCCTTTACATTCTAACATGATCGGAACTGCCCGGGTGGAGGGGGACCCAGTGACCTTAGTTTTACTTTTCGCTCACGCAAAACTAATCGATAATTTGAGGAATTCTTATGAATCCTCTCTCAAATACACTATGAGTCAGGGCTACTCGAGTTACTGTGCTCTCTCACAAGATTCTGGTTGTCATTCTGGGAGTGGTCTGGGATCGCACAGCCCTGCCCCAGTTTGTAGCCCTCGATCCCATACTGCTAAACGAGCCTGCGCCAGTCAGTAACTCATTGTCCCGATATTTTTCAAGTGTAACTGCATATCAAGTCACCTCATCCAAAGGTTAACAGCTTGGCAGTACATCCTCTTGGTCTTAAGAAAAATCAAAAGCCTCGACACGAAGGGTGCTACCAGCACATTCACTGCTGAGTGCCATCTGCTTGCTAGTCAGAATAGCACGCTATGAATATATGAACACGGGAGGGAACTGACATTATGTGTTCCAGTCTCTACCCTAATATTTTAAAAGCACTTTGTTCCCATCAAAACATTATGTTACTCAAATAAGCTAAGTATTAGAGCAGCGGCCTGCTCCGTTCAGGTCGCTGCGGTGGTAAAGTAGACAAATTGGGCAATACTGGCTCTCTTGGACTGTCATACAGGTTTAAGCAGCAGCCACTTTGACGTTGACCGAGTGGCTGGGTGTTCCGTCTTTCAGGACGAAAAGCATGTAATACCCGGGCAGAGCAATTCCTGGCTCAGCAGGAATATTGAACGTGTACTTGTTCTCCCCAGATTGGTTCAATTGAACCGCGATGCGTCGTTGGTCGGTATCCACTGTGTGCGTGTTGGAGCTATAACGGATAATTGATGCCTGAGAATCGACAGGGCCATCGGTGGTCACCTCGACAGAGCCGCCAGGTTTAACCGGGCCTGATGTCACGGTCTTGATATTGGGACGGTCACGGAGGGATCCATCGGGTTTCAGCAAATATGCAGGTGTGTAGATTTGACCGTCGAAATGATTGGCGTCACAATCTCCGCATAGACCACCACCACCAGTGAAAACAGTACCATCTTGAAGCAGGAGGGAGATGCTGTGATACACTCGGACAACGGAGTTTTTCTGCTGTTTAACCCAGGTGCCTCCGTTCGCAGCGTTAGTATCGGGAATAAACAGCTCCGGGGTCATTTGAGCCTGACTTTCATTGAATGGAAGTCCGACAACCTGACCACCGTGAACAAACACCGAACCATCCGGAAGGACGACGGACGAGTGGAAAGTGCGCTTGTAGTTCATTCCACCCCCTGCATTTGGAAGGACAGAGGCGCTTTGGTTGACTTTGTCAATGGTGATGATAGCAGCATTGTTGGTGGCCTCACTAGTCTCGTACCATGGGGAACCGCCAAAGGTAAGGATTTTACCCTGATCATACATAACGGCATTACCACACATAGCGTCTGCATCACCAGTCCTATTCCCGGCGGGAGCAGTGGTGCCGTTCCCTGATGTGCCGTACCAGTTCATTTGCACACTAGGACCGGCCTGGAAAGCGGAGCCATTGGTCCATCCAAATATCCAGCCGTGGTTGTCTTGTCTGTATGTCCGTTGGTCTTGAGTGAGCATTGCTGATGAGAGTGCATTGTCAAGCTTAGACCACTTCTCAGTTTTAGTATCGTAAACCTCCCCGTTCTTAGCGCCAACACCTCCCTGAAATGATCCTCCAATCAGGAAGATACGCCCATCAGACAAGATTGTAGATGCTTGGTAACCGCGGAACTCATACAAGGACCCTCCCTTGAACCAATCACGAACGGTGGTATTGTATATGCTGGTCTGGCTTCCATCGTTTCCTCCAGTCACGACAAACTTTCCGTCCACATCCATCGAGATACCTGTACAAAACATGTCGTGCTGGGTGTTAGTGACACTGCGACGGGTCACCGACTTTGCCTTGCCATTCCAGGTAGCGGTTTGTGTCTTTCCTCCTTTGCCGCCAGTGAAGATCTTATAGCCCCAGGAGGACCAGGCGACCACCTCGCCAGAGCTCGCATCGACAGCACCGGAGACTGGAACCAGGGGGAAGTCAATCGTGGGGCCCCAGGCTCCCAGAGTAGCATCGGGGGCAATGAACTCGCTTTCATACACTCTGATATCCGCGATGGCAATTCCATTTGTCGCAGGGGCTGTCAATCGAACATATCTGGCCTTTCTCGGTTGAAACGCTGAGAGCTTCTGGCTCTGATCCGGCCACCAGGTTCCATACGCAACCTGGTCCCAAGTTTTATTGTCAACACTCAAAAAGATTTGATGCTGCTCAATGAGAGCAGTAGCCTCATCCTGCCTGGGAACCACAGTCAGGCCACTCACGGCGTAGTTCTGCGTTCCCAAGTCAATCGTGATATTCTGGGAGTTGCCGGAACTGGCACTCTGCCAATAGGTTTTGCTGTCGCCATCGAAGGCTTGGCTGCAGTTGTGGCCGCTCGTGACGGTAGTACAGTTGGCGGTCCAGCTGGCGCGGTTTATCTCACGGCCTTGTGGCAGAGGTTGTGAGAGTGTCGCGACCTCAGCTCCGTCAATGATTGCAGTATCCGGTGTCAATCCCTCTCTGTAAAGCGCCTCAAGCTCTGACATATCCCGGGCCCTTGCGGTCCCCAAGAGGAACACAGCCACACGCCAATCAAGCTTCATCTCGGATTCAGGTGACTTGTATATAACCAAAACAGACAGAAGTGAGCCCAAGCAGAGGCCTTTCGAGGAATGAGGTGACTAGTTCTATCCAAAGGAGCATCTTCCCGTTTTAAACCCACCATTTTATCAACGGTGTCAGGCTCAACAATACTCCGATAGCAACATGCCAAGCATTGTCGGGCTACGGCACGAGCATAACGTTTTATGCAAGGGTTTCGGTTGAAGAGCCCCTTCTTCCTGGAGCTAGGAATATCGATAGGTGAAGAAGAAAACACATTCAGCGTACATCTAGGAGACAGAATGCACCCGGGGAATATCGTTTCTATGTTTATTGTTGACTGATTGGACGGATGAAGCTGGCTCACAAAGAAAGAATCCTTGCCTCAGGTATGCCCGGAAAGAACCTACAAAAACGGATCGCGTCTTGATCGATGTACTTGAAGTTTCTAGCTTGAATCAGCAATCTGCCTGCCCTTCGACCATTCCCTTAACACAAGAAAAAAAAAACATTCCGCAGAAAAGAAAACAGAATAGTTAGATTTAGAGTGACTGAATACATGAGTAGAGAGAGAGATTAATAATATCCGATATTGTATGGCCAAGACAGGCTCGGAATGCGCTCCACACCAATCAGTTAAGGTGTGCGGCCCGAAGCGAAGAACTGCCGGTGCAACGTCAAGCCGGAAATGGAAGAAATCGAATATAGAGTGGGTCAAAGGAATTCATGGCTAAATCGTGTATATGAAGCTAAATTCTATGCACAGAGTGGTGACATGCCAAAGTAGGCAGTCGGTAAATCCCTCAATCTCGTCTACCTAGGTACTAGAGCATGATAGGCCATCCATTCTGTGCTGGACCATTCCCTTGGAGAAGGAGGAATGTCTAATGTAGAGATGGAACTTTACCACTGCAAAGAGTCCATGTTACGGTCCAGTCTTCAGGTCAATCCTTTCAGATATAACGGATATTCGCAACCACATATCATATTATTAGCCTTCACGTTATGGTAGATCCTTTATCCTCATAAGACAATCTTACTGTTTTATATTTTTATTTTATTTGTAGCAAATAGCTGAACTACCAGTCATAAAAATGCAGAGGCTTCGTGTTGGCATTACTCGTAGAACCGGCGGCAGGCCTGGAACGCGATGGAGCGGGATTGGAAATCACACCTGCATAAAGCTACGTGCAGAAGAATGCTACGTGACCGAGGAAATTCTCCAACTCAGCTTCTAATGAATTATTTTTCAATGTAGCTTTCGAGTAACAATGCTAATCATTTCATTCGCGGATTGAATCGTCCTTCCAAGCGGATAGTAGCCATGCTTAGGTCAACCATCCGCATTCATTAGCCTCGTTGTACGAGGAATCACTGTAATGATGATTTTCCCAAAATGCTATTCAAGCCCCATGGAAGGCGACAAGCCAAAAAGTCTGAAAATGGACGAGTTCGTCATGATTTTTCCAAAGATACCGCTCGCACCTTAGACCAAACGACGACTCACTTCCATAAGCAGTGCCAGCTCTGGTAAAAGACTCAAGGGTCTCAATAATCTAATGAAACTAATAGCGTAGCATTCAATTGCCACGCTCCGAAAGTCGAAAGATTTTAGTCGCTGCAGACACGTCTAGGTTCATTGCTTGGGGACTGAGCCGTGATCAACTAGCTTGCTAAAGACCCATGCTATTATACTAGGTAGCCGGTTTCATTGTGTTTATTCATTTTCCCCCCATTTTGTCGTAGCTGAGGGAGGTCTAGTCTTGGAGCCTTCTACGGCTAATGTAGCTATCCACTAAGCGGTACATTTATTTCTGAAGCAGAGGTAACCCCAGTGGGCTAAACATGTCAATGGGCGGGCCCCCACTATTGCATCACTCTAATTAATTTATAGTGATACGATAGCTTACGTTCCTTGGTTCATTATATGTGACGGTATCCTGGTCGCTGGTTGCAGAAGTCACTTCACAGTAAAGTAAGCTATAAAGGGCCCCTCGAGGACGATCTTGAATACGTTTGCTTGATTCTAGCTCTAGTTGCTATTTATTGTCTACAAAATCAACCAAGTCTATTCAAGGAATCGCCACGAGCACCACGAGCACAAAATGCGGTCCACATCCGACTTTGATCTCCACAATATCCAGGGAGATATCTGGTCAGCCAGCTTCAGGACCTGCCAGCTACCAAGGACATTAGTGCTGACTTGAATCTAGGCCTGGTTTGTCGAAGAAATATCAGCAATTCTTCTTTTTTAATATTGAGAATCCTGCAGCTTTTAAACCCATGCTGAAAGTCCTGGCGGATAAAGTCATTACTTCTTCCCACGGTGCCCTCGTCAATCGTGC